GGAGGCAGGGGCTGCGCTGGCCCGCGCCCCACCGCCACCATCCCTCCTGGGGCGCACGCAGCCGAGTCCCAGGCCCGCCGCTGCCCTGCTGCGGGCCGGGACGCCGGTGTCGCCGAGCGGGACGCTCTGGGCGGGCGGGCTGCTCCTCGAGAGGGCCGAGCGGCGCTGTGCGCTCGCCTCCGCCCCTTCCTTCTCCCTCCGGCCCGCCAGACTCCGGCTCGCTTTCCCCCCTCTCCCCCCCCTCTCTCCCGCCAGCCCCCGCCCGGCTGCGCCCGGTCAGTTTACTGCGAGGCGGGGCGGGGCGGGGCGGGGCGAGCTCTGGGCCGGGCCGGCTCCGCCCTGAGCGCTGCGGGCCGGACGCGCTGAGCCCGCGAGGCGCCCAGGTGCGAGTCCGGTCCGCCGCTCCTGATGGCAGGGTCTGAAACTACTAGTTAGGACCTGGATCCCGGTTCTTGGCGGCCTATCACCACGGAAGAGGCAGGCAGACTTCACGAGGCGAGCCTAGATTACTTGGACCATGGGCGATTGTCACACTTCAGGAGCGAGAGCGGTACAGCCGTCCTGGCCCTCTCGTCCTCCTCCCCAGCCTAGTGGCCAATGCGGCCTTGCTCGAGGTGACACGGAAGTGCCCGCGACGGCAACCACAGAGCCATGAGCTCCCTTTGGAGGATTGGAGACCGGCCCATACTTCACTAGTCTTAGTTTTCCTTAACAATACATTGATGGCTTCCGTAACCAAACTGATAAACTCAAAAGCAGATGTTTTACCGTTTACATCTGAGCAGATTCTGAATTGCCAGTTGAGGAGTAGGGTAGGGGACTTCTCAAACAACTCCTGCAAAAGATCTGGTGGGCTTGGCCGGGCCTCGTGAATGGAGTGAGACCAGAATGCCTTATAGCAAAGAGAAATGCATTTCTCTCAAATGAAGTATAACAGGATATACACAACACGGACAGAGGGCACGCTGCAAGCCAGGTATTCTGCTAAGTGCTACACTTGTTTTAATACACTGAATCCTTCTGTTATCCAGATGAAAAAAAAACTGAGGCATACAAACAGGACTTAACTTGCTGGAGAAAGTGATAGCTGGAAGTGAATTTTTTTTTTTTTTTTTTTGGTACAGGGTCTCACTACTGGAAGTGAACTTTTGTCCAAAAGTTCAGAATGGCTGAACTAAGAACAGAAGCAGTTAAAAGCAAAGAGCAAATTGGTCCCATTTTTGCAAGTCAGGAGCCAAGCAGAAGGAGGGCTTGGAGGGCCAGTTGGAAAACCGTCCTCAAAGCGCAGTCTCAGAAGTGTGGATTTTCTACTATGCTTGTGCCCACCTCCACCTCCCATTTTCTGGAGGAAGTAAACTTACTCTTGTAGTACAGAATGCCTGGGGGCAAAGTTGCAGCCAACCTTCGGCAGCTCCACATTTCACTGACAGCATTTTATCCTTAAAAATGTATGCAAATGTTATTGTATTCTACAATTTCTTTGTTCATTCCTTGTTTATTTTGGAACTACCTGCTCCTGGGGTGGAGGGGACACTCTTAGCTCACTTGGAGAGGCAGTGATTGTAATTAATGGGAAGCTAAAGAAAGAGTTTATAAACTGAGAGATATCATATGCTAAGTGGTCATGTGCCAAGTGGTGATTTAAAGGGATTTGTTGAGCAGGAATGTGTAGAATGGATTAGATAAAAAAGGAGTCTGGTCCTGGAGACTGAGTAAACATTGTGTTAATAAGGACACTAATAACTTGCATATGCCAAGTGTTCTTTATTTTTCGGCCCTGTAGTGTCAGATCTTCTGGGCACTTCTCTGCCCCAAACTAGATGTTGCACAGCTGCTGGAACAGCCCCCTTTGTCCCACACCCAACACAGACACCCTTATTTGCACTGCACCTGGAAAGTGCTGTGATCCAACCTCCCCCTGCTCTCCTGTTCCCTAGCCCACTCTTGTCTCACCTGGTGCTTCGCTCAGCTCTCAGCCTGCCCAGACCTGCATAAACCTCTGATCCAAGTTCCATTATTTTAAAACCGACTTGAAGATTCCTGTTGTAATTGAGAGCCTTTGCTTTCTGGTTTGTGCCTTTTTTTTCCCTGCTTCATTCTTTTCATTAAGCCACAGGGGTGACCTTTAATGATACTTAATTTCTTCTTACTTGGTGAATTGTGCATACACTGACAGTTCCCATCAGTAAGGGAACATAATTATGGATATAATCTTCAAAGGTTTCCATCAGGAGGAGCCAGGAATAGTTTTCCACAAAGAGGGTAAGGAGAAGGTCCAGGGAATTTTAGAATCTGACATAACATTACTCTGTCATCTAATACCTTAAACAGCTTTGAGATATTAGCAGAAGGATCAGGAATGTACACACAACATTCAGCTTTTACAGTTGCACAAGTACATACACACAGAGACACACAGACACACCTGTGCTGCTGTTAGAAAGACTGTCTAATACTATCTGATTCTGGAGAGCACCTTGCCTTGCCTCATTAATTTTACTTCTTCATTCAGTACAGAGAGAGATCAGCTGTGGTCTTGTTTAAGTCCTCAATGTGTTGTATGATATCCTCTAACCCTAGGAAAGGGATACAGATATATGCTAAGTGATCATACCAGTGAAACTTCTAAACTACTGGTGTCATAGGTGGATTAAGTTTGCAGGTCTGTCAATATTTTTGACAATCCTGCCTTGTAACTATGCAAATCCCAGATGCATCTTCCTATCCATCCAACGGTAGCCAGGGCCACAAATTGGTTCCACAGAATCAATGAGTGTTATTAGGGGTTTCCCATCCGATTCTGGGGCAATTAAACATTTTTTTTGCAAACCAATCTTCAACCTGTAAAGTTATTATGTGTATACATAGTTCAGGAGTGTCTATCCCAAGTATTTACTAGAGTTAAACAAATAGGAGTTATTTTTCTGTTCTCAACATAAGGAGACCTTTCTACTAAGATGTCCTATAGTGGGCATTAACCGTAGATGATTATCCCGTATCTGAAAATAGCCTTCTTGATATCTCTAGTTGTTGGCCATTGAGATAAGGCCCTTACTCTTAGTTAATAGGGGGTCTCACTAGTGCCTATAGAGAGGCTTCAGGGGCATATTTAGAAAAAGTTCAATTATGACCAGTATAATTACAGAGTATAGTTTAGGCTGTTACTTTGTAATGGTGGGCTAAACTATGAACCATTG